AAAGGACTTCCTATTCTGTTTCCTCCACAAGCACCACCAAACACACAAGGGCGCCACCCTCTAGAAATCACGAGCTTGGGAGCCCACCGTACAACCTCCCCAAATCTCTATCAAATGTCTCGGAGACCGGGCTATGACCCATTGGATCCCGAACAAACCCAACATCAAAGTCCTTTATTTTGAATAGAATGGTGGATTTGGAAATGGTATAAAAGAAATGCACAAGAATGATGCGGGATTGCTAACTTGGAGAACATTTACCAAATATCACAAGTTACAAGCAGAAAAGAGAGCGATATACAGTAAAAGCATATGACTGGAAAAATAGGATAATGCGTGTTCAGAACTCAGTATATTTCAAATAGAATTATTAAAGAACCTATTAATTACAGTTATGATCACTGGCATCCTAAATATATGACTACAAACACAGATTTAATAAAAACAATCATGTGTGGCCAGTGGAAGAGACTTCATAATTTAAAATTACTACAAAGGAAAAGATCTAATGTGAAATCCTTACAGCCTTATATATCACTGCAGAATTCTTAGGCAATTATACACGCTATAGAAAACATAGATGTTATGCTCCATTTTTTGGGAGATACTAGTGTCTGTGAAAGCAATATAAATAGGCCACTACTCAATGCTGCTCCACCATCACTCGAGGGTACTAGAGGGATGACCTTGGTACAACCCTAACCTTTAGCATTATGAATATTATATATTATGCTTGCAAGTAAGATTAAAATAAATTATGCATGCTTCGATATTTAAGGAATTCTTATCATCCAATCAGAAATCATCGTGTTGACTCATCAGTAATCATGAAAAAGTAGTAGCAGTGAATTCACCATATTCATCTTTTTTCCTTAATTCTTTGTATCTAAACGCTTCAATAATATTAACTTTGTAACATACCACAGAAACTTTTTTTTTTTTTTTTTGATAAGTAATAATTGATTAGAAAAGCGTTCAAAAGGGGAACGCGTCCCTAATACAAAAAACGAAAGCTGAACCTAAGGACCTATAGAGTCCAAAAGATCAACTAAGTCATCAGTAGAGGAGCAAGTGGTTCCTCTTTTCACATAACAAAAAATAATTGGTCCTATTCATAGCTTTGCTTCTCCCTCTCATCTCTTTTTTCTTTGTCCTACATACCTTTCCTAGAATGAAAAAGATCAGTCTACCAACCACACATTGACATGTATAAATTAACAGGGACAAAGAAAATAAAAAGAGAAGGAACCCCAGAGGATGGCATGTGTCCTTATCAAAGGGATCTAAGATATTACCAGAATAATTTAAGAAAAACACCATAGCTGCACAACAAACTTGGTCATAATGCAAGACCTCCCTCAAAGAGAGGAGCTGACAACAGAAAAAAGGAGGTTCTTCAGACCTCAAAAGTTACCATATTAGCAAAAAAGTAAGACAACCACATGTTACAAAAAAACCTAAAACCCTGAGGATCTAATATAACAGTCCCAAAGATGATAATCAAGTCATTCTACTCCTCTTATCAAGAATGCTAATACTCTTATCAACAACTCCTAACCGAAATCCAATCATCAAATGACCTGTGACAGGCACCACACAATATATCCACTCCACTGTTCTCTTTTCCTCCTTTATCACCCAAACTAGGAGTCCAACTAATTAATCTATTAAGGTACAATCTGGCACAAAACAATGAATTTGGAAATAAATTGTCGACTATTGCTGACATCAGGTGTCAGTACAGTATCAGCTGTATGAAGTATGAACAAATGAGATTGTGCTACCGGGGCTTCAGCCTCTTCACTGCAGAAGTACATTCAATCAAGGAAGACAAGGAACATCAAAAGGAGTCATAAGGCATGGAGCATACCAACGATGAAGTCATTGTTTCTATAGCTGGTGCGGGTACGGATATTGACCATTCTCACATGTAGGTTATGATGCTAGTTGGCGTTGTGCAACCTTTTAAGATCACTCCAACACAAGTTGTTACAACTTTTGAGCAATGGTGAGAACAATGGTTGATTTCTGAGGGCTTCAGCCCACAAAGTTATAGTACTAGTGGTATTCCATGCAGAAGATTAAGCATAGTGTTAATTAGGCATGGGTAACTTCATTAATTCGTTTCAAGCACCAAACGAAGAACAGTATATAGGAGTGGACAAAGAAGTATTGACAGACAAGGAAGAAAGTCATCGAAAGAAAAAAGTAAATCAAAGTGAAAAAAAAAAAAAAAAATGTTAAAATAGCAACAAAAACAAGCGAATAACACTAAATATATATACATATATAAATATATATATAATGCAGCAGATTGTGGTGAATATACTCCTAAGAGGAAAAAGGTAACTCAGCTTGATGTGATCACTGTGTTAGAATCGTTTGCGATTCAAATCTTATTATTCAATTCAAACGCACCTCTTGCATATAAATAGATAGGTTGAATCTCATACTATTGGCAACTTTTAGGTCAATAAGACTTAGGCTGGCATATTTCATACAATCAAAGTCTGTAATTTTGAATTTTTTTTTTTTTTTTTTTTTTTTTTTTTTTTTTTTTTTTTTTGTTTTTGTTTTTGTTAATGTTTTAAAATTTAGTTAAATTGGGAGTTGAGTTACCTCTGTCCAAGGGAAAAACAGAGAATTCAAGGCTTCAAGCAAGGGCAAAAAGAAAAAAACTCTAGATATTGTGCACTCACCAAATTATGGTTCATATGCATTCATCTATTTTATTAAGCATGTTAAGGTTATAAAATTGCATGTTTTAACCTTCAAACTTGCATTTAAGGATGCAATAAACTGTTTTCGGAAAGTCAATTCCTATTAAACTAGGACCGGGAGTTCAATAACAGGACTAGGTCCGATTGATCGAAGTTTTAGTCAATAGATCGAACGTTACGAAAAGGCAATTTCCAAATCTGATTTGAAAACATCTAAACTTATAAGTTTCCAGCCTCCAAGGTCTATAAAGAAGACCCACCCTTTAAGTCTTCAGAAAACCTATGACAAGAAAAATAAGTGTATGCAAACATAGAGAGTGAGCATCATATATTTGTGAGGCAATTTTAGAGTGCATCCAAGCAATCCAATTGCTACATTTTTGTTTCTTTCTTTCATCATTCATGCACATAAATGGTGTTTGTGGGTGTTAAACTTACAATTCCACGAACATACAACAGAGCGGACGTGACTAGTAATTGGAAATCAAAGCACGGATTGAAGAGCAGAATGAGTGAAGGGGTGTTGGAATTCAACACTTCTAAATGCACAAAATACGTGCACCGACCACATGACAACTGAGGATAATTACGGAATATATGTCAAAACATATATGGTTTGACATGCACCTAACAAGCATATATCTGATAATTCAAGTTTTCTATATGAATGTACATAAAATTCTCGTATTATTATTTTGTTACACTATTGCCTCAAAATGAATGAACTGCCAAGTTTACCGCTCTTTATTACATAAAGCACTATGTTACCCTAAAAAAAAAAAAAAAAAAAAAAAAAAAGAAGAAGAAGAAGAAGAAGAAGAAGAAGATTTTTTTTTTTTATATAAGTAAAATTTTATAAACAACGCTCAAAAAGGGGAGCAAATCCCTAATAAATAAATATAAATATTTAGTTGTATTCCCCATCTCCTTGAGTTCGGGTACTTAATAATCTTTTCGCTTAGTCACAAACCAACATTCAATACACATATATCTTATTCGATGTAACAAAGTGAGACAAACAATTTCATCCTTCTCTCTAACAGAAAATGTATTTCCATATGTTTGCACTCCAAATCCTTTGAAGCCTTCTATTTTGGGGGATAAGAATGTATTTATTAATAGAGGCTAAGAGGAGATACAATCCATGTACAAACAAGATAAAAAAAAATGATGAAATAGACGCAGGAAGCACCAAGAAACCCAAAAATGGAAAGAATGAAGCATAATTTTAAAAATTATATATGACCTTAATAGTTTATTCCACAATCTCTAATGAACCACATAAGGCAAAAAGGAGCTTCCACCCAGAAATACCCCAACCCCACCACCCCCCCCCCCCCCCCCCCCACCCTTCATTTTAGGCACTCTCTCGGCCATGAACATATGAGCTTAATATGGACGTGGCCCTCCCACCACCACTGTCTTAAGGTCATTAGGTGGACTATTATGAAGCATATCAAAATGTTTGTGCAATAAAATGAACTGTAGATGCATATAATACGCAAAAAAGAAAAGGGAAAAGACTATAAAAGGGGTAGTAGAGAAGTGTAAATTGATTATTCAAAAAGTGTTTAAGTTATTCTATGGCTATGCTCTGTCATTTAATGTCATGAAGTGTCCTTTATTTGCTCGGATTATGAAACTGTTTGGTTAACGGAGTAAAGGCTTGCAACTCCATTCTTATAAGGTCACTTCTTTCAAAAAAAGAATTGAATAATAATTCAACTTCAATGAAAAATACAAAAGAAGTGAAGAAAATTAGTTTTAAGTGATCCCATCGGTTGAAAGTTCTCTATCTTGTATTTTTACAATATATAGGATTTCTACATGTTTGCAGAAAAAGACAAAATATGCTGTCTATCCTATATTTTTACAAAATATTGTGACATGCCGATTTCTACGGGATGTAATTTTACAACGAAGAAAAACGGGACCTATAGCTTTATTGTAGGCATTAGGCAAGAATGTCATGACTTATAAATGAGATATAATATTCCACCATGCCTTTTTTTGTTTCTTTTAAAACAGCTTCCACCAATTTGAGTGTGCATGTGAACTCTTATCTTCCAACGGAGATTAAAAATACAAGTATACTCCCTCACCAATACACTTGTAGACCACAATTCTATTATGGAAAACCAATCACCTAGGTTTGATATAAATTTACTGCACAACTAATTAGAACTCGAATAGATACTTAAAAGAATAATTGACAAATAAAAAAACGGCCAACTGTGAAAAAAAAAAAAAACATAGAACGAAATGTGACATCCCCAATACCTTCAGTCCTCCACAGTTTATTGTTATAATACCGGTAGTTGAAAAGGACATTTCCAGTTCTCAACCTAGACAATAAGACAATACAAGCAGCTCAAATTATATTTTGTATGTATTCTTTTACAGGAAAATAAAAATCACTAACATTCCAATAAACTGATAAAGAAAATCTAGACCAACCAAGAACATAAAGAGGCAACAGCATATCAAACACAGAAACTTCTTTCCAACATTGATAACAACATTTCAATTGTCAATTGCCTTATGTTCAGATTCAGAAATTAAAAGGTAAAGATAAGTTGCACAAATATTATTTCAAGGGAAAATTTCCAACTGAAAGTACATAACAACCGCGGAGTGAAACACTGCTGCTTTAACTATACCACTTTATAAAATCATTCACAAAATTAAAGAGTCCAATGTATTACGTTCAGTGTAATCAAGAAATTATATTTCCTTGTGCCTTGTTGTTTCAGATAGCCCCCACAACGCAAATGTTCCAGAAATATATAGAAAAATATGGTAACAAATTGAGAACTCTGAAAACACTCCCAAAACGTAATACATTAATGAAGCTGATAATATCTAGGCCTAATAATGTAATACACTATTACTTGGATAAGCAGGAGGTTTATGAACCCATACACATTGGAAGCACTGATTGGAACAGGAGACAGAGAAAGAAAGAAAAAGCTGTTAATGTAAACCAACCCTACACAGACAAAGACCGAGGCTTTTCTTTTCAGGTACAAGTAAGAACATTTAAACATTACATAATGAAACATATCAATACTATCCATCCAGAGCATTTGGCTTCCATGCACTTCTCAAAACAATGAATTTAAAATATAAAAAAAATTAAGTAATGGAAAAAAGGTAAACGAAGTGACAAAAGTTTCTCTTTGCGGTGAGTGATGGTCAAGTGTGACAACTATGTCAGTTAAGAACACATGCCCTTCATGTCAACTTAATGTTCATAAGGTCCAGTAATTTGACAGGCTTTATAAATTTCACTCATTTTGCCACAAATAAATAGATTCATTTCCAAATTCACCCAGTTATTCACATCAAATTCAAGTTGGAAAAACAGATGAGAATATGTTGAAAAGGGGGAAACAAACGGTGAGAAAACCAAAACTTCTGGTTAGAAATTGCAGAATCAAACAAATCCTAAAACAAGATCAAGTCAGCAAGACCCATAAGGTGGACAAAAATAAAAAAATTAGAACAACATATTAATAATTAAGAGGGTAAAATCCACACACACACAACAATAAAAAATAATATAAAAAAAATCCTAGAACTATTAATTTTGTACCAAAAAAAAAAACTCCCTAAACTATCCAAAAGATTTGCAATGCCCCCCTGCCGTTATTTACCCGGTCAAATTGTATTATTAGTTTGTCATGTGCATCACACATGACATAGTGTGGCTTTCATGACCATTATGCTCCTCACCCAATTGTAATGCTCCAATAATATAAAAGGTAAAATGCAAAAAATCCCCCTGAACTATTCAATTTTTTTAAATATCCCAACATTGCAAAAATAAAATAAAAAATTTCCCTAACTATCAAAAAATTGCAAATTATTCCATTGACAATACTGGTGATGTTAAATTACTTATTTACCCATTAAATGAACTACGTGGCCTTAGTTATTTTTGGCAATTGAGTTACCCATAAAATTTAATGTGCAAAAATATGCTATCAAAAATATGTTTTTTTTTATTCCTTATATTTTTATATGTATACACACACACACACATATATATGTATATGTATGTATTTTGCAAATCTTTTGGATAGTTCAGGGGATTGTTTACCAAATTAATAGTTCAGAAGGGTTATTTTGCAAATCGTCAATAGTTGAGGGGAATTAGTTGCAATTTGGGATGGGTTTTCTTTCCTTTTTCTTTTTCATTTTTTTAGGTCATTTTGGTAATTTTATTATGCCAATGACGGTTGACTAACAAGTGAGTGCTATTTGCAAATGTTGGATACATCAAGAATTTTTATTACTTCAGGGTTTGTTTTTGCAAAACTATGATAGTTTTTTTTTTTTTTTTTTTTTTTTTTTTTGTATTTTACCCTAATTAATAACCCTAACAATACCTGTTTTAGATCACTGAAGATATAAGTATATTATACATTGATAACCACATGAAAATAAATGGAAAGTGAATATGAAGTTAGAAAGAAAAAGGTATTTACCGAATAATATGAGGCAATGAAGAAGTAGGAAGGTCATTATATGTGTATGTATTATAAGGAGATTTTTCTTTTGCCCCAACCTCTTCTGCCGAAATGATGACTTGCACTTGCTGTGACATACCCTTAGGTAACCCAGACAGTAAAAAGAAAGCAGTGATCAACAATATAATTATAATTATCCAGCAGAAGAATATCAAAGGATTCAAGTTGAATATCCAAGAGGAATAAAGTAGATATTTAGAGGGCAGAACATACCATAGCTCCATTGTTATATGGAATCTGAAACGAAATACATTTGTTATCATCCAAGCAACTCGACTGCAAAAGGAAACGCAAATAAGATGTTAGGAAATAAGCTCTAGTCTTGGCACATCCCATGAACATAACTCTGTTATGTGTTGGGAGAATGTCATAAATCCCATAAATCACTCCTATGATATTCTCCCAACATTATGCTTGTAAGCAAAATTCGTGAAGTTAAGGTCAGAGATCATAGTCATAGTTTGATTGGCCAAGATTGAAGAGCTACGATGACAGTCACGACAGATTGCAGAAAAAATGTATGACTTAGAGAACCAAGATCTACATAACTAATGGCTAGTTTAGTTGGAAGCAAAAAAGACTTGGTGGACCCCGGGTAATAAATAGTAAATAAAATATGTTTTGACAAACCAAAATTTAATTTAGTAGCTACTGAACCAATTGAGATGGAGGGTGATTGATCAAAACTGAATAAGAGCCCGTTTGGTATTGCGTTTCAACCGCATAAAAAAGCTTTTATTTTAAAAAGTTGTGTTTAGATGTGTTTGGTAACCATTAAAAGCACTTTTAATAGTTACCAATTTTAGCTTAGTAGAGCTTTTGAATGAAGCTAAAATTTCTAACTTTTAAAACTACGTTTTGAGTAGAGGTTCTATATTTAGGTAACTGTTTTTCCTTAGACAATTTCACCCCTTCTTTTATGATGTTGTTATTATCAAATATAGTAACAATTTATTAAAGGACAGGACTATAAAAGTAGCAATAGAAGTGCTTAAAAAATATTGTTACCAAACAGATTAAAAAGTACTTTATATTATGTATCACCAAACACCTAACATGTTTTTTTACTGACAGAATTTTTTTGGCAGCCCTACTGACAAAAGTGCTTTTTTCATTCTACAAGCAACGCTAAATGGGCCCCAAGAATTGAATTGATAAAGTGAGAACTCAGTACTCGGTGGAAAAAATCGTAATCACAGTTTATCAAACTTTCACATAAGCCAACAGATCAATCAAGCTAAAGCAATGGATCATATCGCGCAACAAATGGATAGATCAAAGTGCAGTCATAAACTGATTAAATTGAAGTCGGAATCAGAAATTTGACAAACTTTTTAGGAGTTCCCAAAATCAAATCCTTTGTACTACAACTCAGAGGTCTAGGTTTTAAAAAAAAAAAAGACCTAAATAACCAATACATAGAGACCCCTTAGGCAATTGTGATTATTCTCAAGAGACCAGGAATGTAGGCATAAAAATTTTCTTAAATATATTTACGCCTTTTTCTTGACTAGGACAATATTGTACATTCTTATCATTCAGTAATCCAATATGGGTAATTTGCTTGTGCTTATGTTTTTATGACTTGAAAAGCAGCGGGTCACAGACAGATTATCAAAATAAGAGTATGCACTGAAATATAGCGGTAACAATAAAGTGGTAGGACCTGATAACATACCCATAGAGGCATGGAGAACTTTACGAAAAGTAGGAATGACAGGCTAATTAATTTATTCAATAAAAAACCAAGAGAAGGAAAGACATAAAAATAATGGAGGAAAAGCACAACATAAAGGAGAGGTACGAATGTTTAACAAAGATTAAGAAAGGAATCCGCAATGTCCAATAACCAATCTGGACTTTTTCCAGGGAAAACCTTCATGGAAACCATTTACTAAGACATTTAAAAGAATATCGTAGAAGCAAAGATCTACACATGATTTCCATGTACTTGAGAATGCATAGCCACATAGGATAGAGTACTGAAGGACACAGCTTGGTGGACTTTAAAAAGAAAATGGGCCCTCAAAAAATATAAGGAGACTAGGACTAGAGTTTGAAGGGTATGTGAAGAGACCAGTTATTTTATATAAAGGTAAAATTACACCAAGGATCAATGCTAAGTTCATATCTATTCACAATAACTTTAAATAATAAACAAAAGAAATACAAGAAGACATTGCATGGCGCATGTGGTTTGCAGATGACATTGTACTATGAATACTTCTAAGGAAGAGCTAAGAATAAATTAGAACTGTGAAGAATACGTTAGAGGCGCAAAAGGCTTAAAATTATCAAGATTAAAAAAAATAAATGATACGTAAATTTACTAAAGTCAGAGAGAATAACAACATAATAATAATAATCAAACTGATTACTGAACACTACTATGTGCATCTCTATAATCAGATACTAATAATAGCAACAACAACCAAAAAATAAAACTGCTTCATTGATTTAATTTTTACATCAAAATTCCACTTCAAGGAGAAAACAGAAAACAGCTAATATGTTGGTAACCAATAGAACCTTATAAAATTGCAACAAAAGATTATTCACAAATGAATCTTTAATGGAAAAAAAGTCCAATGTGCTTGCAGTACCCATTAAATAATCATGCAAAAATGTATAAAATCAGAGAATAAAATGGCTGAGAAAGCACCATCCAAGATTTCAATTCCTGCCAAACCCATTCGTTTGAACCATTTATTTCGTAGGGGAGAAGAGAAGGCATCCACACACCACGCAAATCTCCAGGCAATGAGATGTGATACATATACCTTCACAAAACAGGAGTGCATGTCAATAGCTAACATCATTTCTGCTCGCTCCCCCAAACTCAAGTTTGGAGACTTCTCCCATGAGTAATAAAGTAATTCCATTGGTATCTTGCCCATTAAGCAGTAGCCTCCTACATTTGCTGTCATCCATAAAAAAAAAATAGGAATGGCTTAATTAAAAAAATAAAAAAAAAATCTAGAAACAGGTGAAAATGCAACTGACAACAGAGATAAGACAAGGAGAAAAGATAGGGTAATCAATGACGTTTGCAAATGCAAAAGAACGTTTGCAAATGCAACACAACTCAAACACGACATTTGCAGATGCAAAAGAATTCTCTAAAACTGTGGTTGACTCTCCAATGCATATTTCAACTTGTTATCACTGTGGTACAAACTACAAAGGGTCGCATCATGTATCAGAATCGGCAGGTAACAGTGACCTTTTTAAGAAAAAAAATTATTTCTTTTCTTTTTTCTTGATAAGTAAGATATATCACTAAGGAGCACTCAAGCCTTTGCCGACAATACTCTGTTGCTGACAGCACAAAGGAGAGGATTTGACATACTCCTTATAAAACCAAAGGATTTGAAGTATATTTCTCGTAAAGGGCAATATTTGACACAACATGCTAACACAATTCAAACACAAGATAAGTGGATTTGGGTTTGCCTTAATCGACTCAACCCAAATTGACACGGTAATTAAAAGTGTTGTGTTCGTGTTTGAGACACCAACCCGTTTATAACCCTTTTAACTAAACGTGTCAAACAATCATGTTGTGTTCGCGTTAGAAATGACCTGTTTAACTAAACGTGTCATGTTTGTGTTAGAAATGACCCATTAATTAATTGTGTCATGTTTGTGTTAGAAATAACCTTAATAGTATGAAATTTGAATTAAACGTGTCTTATTGTGTCGTGTCAAGTCTTGAACCCTTTATTAAAGGGTTTACACGTGTCGTGTTATGTTACCCGTGTAATAATCATGTCATGTTCGTGTCAACCCATATAACAAGTTACCCATATCCTAGCACAACACAAACACGACATGCCAACATGAATTGCCATTTCTCATGGTACAAGGAGAACTTGGTCCCAACAAAGCAAATGAATGTGCTTCTTCCGCAAATGCTCAATAATAGAAATTTGAGCAAATTCACAGAAGTTCAAACCCAAAATCGTTGTTTGAAACATAATCCCCGTTTGAGTGCCTTTTTTATGACTATATTACTTATAAAAGAAAAAAAAGATGCAATCTTTCAATAAATTAAGTTTAATTAATGAAAAAGACATAACGACAAAAGTCGATAAGATTTATAGAAATATAAATTAGCATGAAAATATGTCCTCTTTCTGATTCAAATTAGAATTGAATTTTACATAACTAGACAATGATGACTTATGGGTAGAATTAAAATTCAGTGCAGTATTTCTTGACATCAAATGATTGGCGTTTTACAATGAAATCCAAATAGATCAGACTGGAGCGCTTGGTAAATGCTATTTTCTGATAAGTACACATTAAATGATTCGATGTATTACACATAGAGCTAAACATAGTAAAATGAACAATGAGTAGAGGAATATGTCTTGGTCCAAATTTTACATTAAGTTGGCGCAGCTTTCTCAAGCAATTTGAAATCTTACTTATCAATAAAAATAAATTAAAAAAACATTTCTCAAGCAATTTAGGGGCACTTATCATGATAATCGTTAACTCAAGTTCAAATAACAAGGAGTTTTCCAACTAAAGAAAAACTTACATGGAAAAGATGCCATATCCATATGATCCTTGGATAGATCAAGTCCGCTAAGAGAATTTGTAATTTCAGCTGCAAAAAGATAGAACATCAATTAACTAATGCAACGGAAAGTATAAGCCTTAGAGCTTAAACCAAAGTAAAAATATACACATTGTGGCATACCAAAACTGACAAACAAGACAGCAAGAGAGCCAAATTTGACCTCAGCTGCTAGCTTATTGATCTCGGGGAGAATAAAATTTGCTTGAGTTTGATTCGTCCCATCTATTCCAGCATAAGTGTTCAGCATACATGCTCGACTAAAGCGATAAACTTCAGAAATCTGTCTCCAAATGACATCGGAGAAAGAAGAACAAATTACTCAAGAAAAACCAAATGGAATGGTCTGATTTAGTTTACTATAGTAGATACGTTGCTACCTCTGCAACCGCAACATTAGAAACTGGCCTCGCCAACAATATGTACACAGGAAATAGACCTTGTGTTTGAACTCCATTCACAGTCCCTGACAGGGAAATTGTCATCTGTATCCTACAAATTCAAACAGAGGCAACTAAAATCAGTACCCTAATTTTTTTTTTGATAAGTGAGTACCCTATATTTTTTTTTTCTTTTGATAAGTAAATCAGTGCCCTAAAATTATTTTCAATTGTATGCTACAATTTCAAACGGCAGCAGTTACAACAGAATTTTAAAACTTAAATAAATACTTTAAAGGACCACATAATGAATAACTTTGGACATAGCTATAGATATGATGACAATGATACAGTTAGGCATCACAACTAGTGTTTGTGTCTGTGGAACGTCTGTTAACCTGTTGTATTTCAGTCAAGTGACCCACCCCGCTAAAGGTTCGATTAGCGGGTTCGATTTTTTTTTTAAAGGTTCGATTTCACCAACTCTATCTACCCAACTAGTCCCATTTGATCTAAAAACAAACCTGGAAATGTATCTCCCATGGAAAACCCTCTATCTCCACTAACTCACACACTTAAAGGTCAAGAAAGTGTTGACTAGGTGAATTGTAGAATTTAAATTGGATTAAAAACTGATCAAATTGGCCTATTTTACTTGGACCGTCCCGTAAACAAGTGTTTAAGAGTGTTCTAAAATGATGTTATGATTAAATATGTATTCTCATCAAGATAGACCCAACTCTGCATCTTTTGGATTCATATAAGGAAAACAGTGAGGGTGCAACCGGGTGTACAGCCTGTCAAACACTTAAGCAACTGATCATAGTGTTACATTCTTCGAGAAAGGTCAAAATTGATCTACCCATAACACTTGCATATACATGAGTTTCTACACACGGAAAGGTATTTTAAGTCATTGTTCGACAGATTTTCCAGATGCACGGCCCCCAGCTAAAGCACCTTACCGGATGGCTCCCGTTGAACTAGAAGAACTTCGAAAGTAATCATAGGAATTGCTTGAAGCGGGTGATATTCAACCCTGCCTAAAGCGCCATATAGGGCACCTGTCCTCTTTCAAAAGTAGGTAGGTTTGGGCTAGGTTGTTGCGCTCCTGCCACCTCTTGGTTGCCAAAACCTTATATAGAGGCTTGTTGGTTATCTTTTACATATACCTAGAGATAACCTGTGATACCTTCCTTGAGACACCTACAGACATATCCCTGATACTTTAGCTCTTATGAACATATATTGAGAGACTCTCGTAGATATTTCATAGAACTTTTATTACACGCTTTGCTGAAAGTTTGTGAGAACCCTTGATTACATCTATGAGAGATAAGTTATTCTTGAGATCATAATTCAGAACGTTGGAAGAAAAACTAGTGACAGATATATCAACACAAGTAATAGGTATTACTCAGTTTAGCAGTAGTAATTTGCAGCCCTACATGATCAGTAATTGCAGCAGAAATTGTCTTGATTTCACTAGTTTCTGCCACGGAGACAGGAGTTGGGAAGAAATACGAAACAGAAGAGAAGAAGAGAAGAAACTAGAGCAGCCAAGACCAAACTGAACACTGCACAGCCAAGAAAACAAGTAGAACCAGCCTACAACAGATTTCACAGGCTGGAAAAACATGAACTGAAGAAACTAGAGCAGCCAAGACAAAACTGAACACTGCAGAGCCAAGAAAACAAATAGAACTAGCCTCCAACAAATTGCACAGGCTGGAAAAAACGAACTGAACTAATCTGAGAAACCAATCGGGTCAGACATAATCGGGTTGAATCTGCAGTTGGGTCCGGTTAACCTGATCCTCCTTCACTTGGGATGGATCTTTGCAAATCAATGAAGAACTCTGCAAATCAATAAAGAGATCTGCACCACTGCAACTTGATGACGACACTGGTTGATGACGACAACAACAAAGAACACTGGTTCACAGCAAACATGACCAACACTGGTCATGTAAATACAGAAAGTGATCTGAAAGTAACTCTCTCTCTCAGTGATGATGAAGCCAACACACAGGCAGAACGATGACACCCTCTTCATGAGAACGGTGACGAACAATTTAGGGTTGGCATCGTTTCAGAATGTAGGGTTAGGATCGTCACTCTGATACCATGTTGAGAGATAGAGAGAGAGAGAGAGGGAGAAACGAGATGTTTGGTGGTGTTCTCTTTTAGATTCAGTGAACCCTAAAATCTGATATATATATATATATATATATACCCACTTACAAGTGTAGCTTATTTACAATATGACGCCAACTCTATCATTAATTATACTATCACTCAACAAATTAGTTTTGCCAATCTTGGGTCAATGTAGCGAATGTTTTGGTGCTAAACTTTGTGGTATAATTGGTGGTGAAGAAAAGAAAGAGTAGGGGTGGCGATGGCAATGGCAATGTTGGTAATGATGTGGAGAAGAGAGAGTAAGGGGTGATGAAGATGGTGGTCGAGAATTTGGGTTTCATGGGTGTGGGTTGGGTTGGGTTGGTGGTGGTTCTAGTGTGGAGGTTGCAATGGTGGTGTGGAGGTGGGAGGTGGTGGGGGGAGAGAGAGAGAGATTGGAGGTGGGCGGTGGTTAGGGATGCAAACGGGGCAAGTTCGGTATGGGTGTTTGACAGAACCATACCCAGCCCCACCTAAATTATTCTATCCTATCCTTGTCCCAAACCAGGGATGGGTTTGGAGTACAATACCAACACTGTCAGGGAAGAAATTCAAGAACCCGTCCCAGCTTGTTTAATGAGTGGGGCGGGTTATGTGTGTGTGTGTATTTGCAGATGTTAGAAGGGTGTAGGTGCAGATGAAGAGAAGCACAATTAAAAACATATAAACGTCAAGAAGGAGATGCAGAGAAGTGAAAAAATAAAAACGCAGAGACGATTTAGATACAAATGCGTAAATATAGAGAGAAGTAGAGAAACCCATTAAGGAGAGAGAGATCAGAAAGTTCCCATCATACAAATATATATATATATATATATATATATATATATATATATGTTATAGAGAGAGAGAGAGAGTACACACAATATGGTCGCAACCATAGCTCTCATAGCCGGGATGGTTGATCGAAAGGAGTGGCTCGTGAGTAGCAAGTTGCCTGGAGAGCCGAGAACTGGGGTTGCCAAGTGGGGAGAGGGGCAGTTGGTGCCTGGTAGTGGTAGAATGGGAAGAAAAATTAGAAGCCCTAACTCTCTTAAGGTGTATATATATACATAATAGTATTTAATGGTATTTAAGGAATACTATATTAAAATAAGGTATAAATGTAATTTTTATATTACATAATCAGGGCAGGACAGGTTACCAAAATACCTGTCCCCACCCCAAACCCGGTTCAGGTTACATATCTTAATCTCATCCCCGCGCCTAACCTGTTTAAAGCATACCATCCCCATCCCATTAAGGATGAGGCAGGGTGAGTGGGCCAAATTGCCACCCCTAAAAGCGGTGGAGCAAGTGGCAAGAGAGGGGTCTTTATTTTTTATTAGTATGGGGGTAATATTGTAATTTCATAGGTTCAAAATTTTTAATTAAAAACTATAGTAAAATAAAGGGAAATTATGACATTTCATTCACATTTCTATCGTCGTTCTAACACTATGACAGAAAGTGTTCATAGATTCTCATACACACAGCATCTATGTACTTTAAGCAAACTTCAAGGGGTGTCGGTGCAATTTACTCTATCCTTTTTAATAAGTTAACAGATACTCGTACCATATGTTTGTCTTTCTTCTTCTCTCTATATTATTCTATCAGCCAAATGAGTGGACAAATAGATCCATCATATACATCTTGAGCATAAAAATAAATTGATTTGTTGGTTGTCTAACCTTCACTCAATCACTATCTCCCATAGTTTTAGAAATTTATACTATCATCTTTGTTCTTACGTACAGATACAATGGTGCACTTTGTTAAACGATCAACCAAACTATTCCATCATCCCCAAACATTCACAAAACTCAATAAGAATTCCATCTGATACTACAATCTTTCTTATTTTCAATTATTTCATAATCTTTTTCACCTCTGTTACCCTATTTTTTTGAAATATCTTCAGTTTCTAGTAGCATTAAAGTTGCTATGTTCTCCTAAATGTAGATCCTCTACATGATTTTCAATAAATAATTTATAAAAATACTTTTCTATCTTAATTTGATCATCGTTCTTTCCTTACCCTTCATACAATAAACATAATTCAAGCCTTCACATGAACTCTTACCATCCTTTAAATTTAACTAAAGATTGAAACCAACGTTCGCCATATGCTTAGCCTCCCTTACGACCTTTTTACCTCATTTACACCTTACATGTATGTAAAGCTCTATGACAGGCTCCTTTTGCATATTATATGTTTCAATTGTGTATTGTAATATTTAAGACACAGTAAAGAAGGCAATTGATGCTAGCAATCTCTATGATTTTTCAACCAGAATGTACTGTGTAATATTTATCATACCATGATACCGATAACTTTGACAACCCCAAAGCATGTAACAGATAAATCAACGGTAACAATTAGTACAATTAGCTTTTAAAACAGATAAGAGTAAAATATAAAATTGAGAATTTTTACCTCTTTTTGTGCATCGCTTGAATTTTGTAATGCAAACATCTTTGAAGAAATGATGGCTACATAAGAATGTACCATCAGTTAGAAAGATACAATAGAAGAAGAGAATAAATATATACACTTCAAAAACCCCATCCTCAAGAATGCAAAACATTACATGTTTCTGTTATCTACAGCATTGGGGTTCCATACTAAGCCCACTATTTAACTGATGGAAATTCCGTGGTAAAAAAAAACACGGTGTGACAGAATTAATAAAAGACATCCATTGCCAATCACGGATGTAAATGGAACAAGTGCCTGACACCAGAGCTTCCAGTGCATGGGGCTCCCGCCATTGCGGGGTCACAGGAGGGTCAGATATACGCAGCCTTACCTCCACGTGGAGAGGCTGTTCCCAGTTTCGAACCCATGACCCCCAGGTCACAATGGAAAAACCTTACCATTGAACCAAGGCCCAACCTCAGCTTGATTGATAATGCTTGAAGAAAATCTTGATAGACAGTCCATATTAAAAACCATAAAAAACTAGCAGCAGCAAAAAGAAAAAGAAAAAAAAAATCCACTGAAGTATATTACATTTCCTATAGCACGGCGTTGAAGAATGTTGTAAAGTTCTACAGGCTTGCAGTAAACAGAAAGGCTCTCCTCGGCTGCAATTTCCTCTTCTGCAGACAAATGTACACGAGAATCTTCGCGGCACATCTGATCTGCACTTCTAGAATAACTGCAATTGCAAACAAAATTTATGTTCAATGAACTAGAATTGCATAGTGATATCAGTTTATCCTTCAATCGTGTAAAATTTTTAAGTGGAAAGAATTCACTTATCACTATACAGTGATGCTGAACACTTAAAATTCAAGGTGTTGTTTGATAACCCAGTTCAGCACTTAATTCTGAATAAATTATGTACTCAATTTTTTTTTTTTTTTTTTGATAAGTAAAATTATGTACTCAATTTAATAAAGCAATATGGATACCACTGAAAACAGCAAGTGTTACTTAAAATGTCATAAAATTTTAAGTGGAGGAGACTTCATTTATAACTAAACAGTGAATACTGAACAGTAACTATTCAAAAAAGTACAAAAGAAATTTTCAATTTATGAATAGCACAGGTTACGGATTAATAAGGCAGCAGCATAAGACAAATAAGATTCCATAAACGGGAACATACGTTGCTTCACGAGCCACTAAAGGTATGCCAGGCATTCTTGTTAGACAATGATGAAATATAAATTCATAGTTATCTGAAGCTTTCCAAGGTAAGTACCTCGTAGCCCCCCCAAACCTGCAAGATATGTATCATGCGGAATCTTTTTAATTAGAAGAAAAGGAAAAGGTGAAAAAGAGAACCTTCAAATACTTGTCTATTATATATTAAAGAACATTGCTGAAAAAATATAGAAGCAAAAGATGCAATAAGAATAAATAATAAAAAGTCTCAAATTTTTCTGAGAGCTGATAAAACACTACAAAATGATTAATGTAAATACGAAATAGACGAGAGTTTAAGAAAATCAACCTGAGTTCAAACAAATTGTCCAGGAAAAAATAAATAAAAAGAAGAAAGAAAAAGAAAGAAAAAAGAGGTGATGGCAGTGCCAACAAACAAAAAGAAGAAGAGGAAGGATAAACCCACCCAAAATGTTTGACACTTTGGAAACCATAGGCCTTGTTGGGTTTGTCACTCAGAAAACAGTTTTCTGTTATCTGAGTGACAAAAAACAAGAAAACCCTTCTTTAACCTGTTTTGATCTGTTTTTGAAGAATAGTTTTTAAAAAACTGAGTCACAAGAGTGAGGGTTTTTAGAGAACCACAAAATGGAGTTCTCTGAGTTTTTAGGAACAGTTTTTCAAAACTAAACTCAAATTGTTAAAACATGGAGAACTACCCGGCCACTTAAAAAATGGCGTAACTTAATCCTCATGTATAACACTCGTTTACCTTATCTCCTCTCTCAGCCGCATATTCCCCCTTCTCTCTCTATATATTATATACAAACTACTTGAACAACTTCTCTCACCTGGTAATAGATCTCTGTTGAACAACTTTTCTTGTCTCAGCTGCAGCTTGCACTCACATTTCCAACTAACAACCAGGTTCATCAAGAAACTCTTCAGGTAATCATTGATCCCTCTCTCTCCCCAAGATTTTTGGGGCTTTTTTCGAAAATTCAAGAAACCTCTCTAAGATTCAATCTGGTAAAGATAGCCCCGATCTGGTTTTTCTCTGGTGTTTTTGTCAATTTTGTTGGTTGGGCTTGCTTTGGTCGTCTCCATTTTCCCCATTTGGGGTTCTTTCATTGCTTGATTTAGTTTACTGTTATTTGTATGTTGTGTCATCAACATTACTTTCTGTGTGTGATTGTGTATCTATTCACAGTTGAAGCCATTTAGACCAACTTTACCTTTTGAATGTCACTTTGAAATCCAGAGTTTTGTACATCAATTACAGTCCTAGCTGTTCACATTGAGCCAAAAAAAAAAAAATTGTTATGCACACATATAAGGAGCATCTTTTCCTTCATGCTTATATTGAAAATCGGCTTCTTTGTCAGGTTATTTTAGTTATTTACATCATGAGAGATCCGAAAATGGTTAATATGATGGCTGAACCTAAATCAGAATTTCTTTTATTCCTTCGGCTATGGACAGTAGTAGTAGTTTTTGTTAAAAAAAATTATAATTCTAATCTAATCATGTAAGTAGATTGTGACTAGTATACTTGTCAAAAAAAAAAAAAAAAGTAGAATGTGACTAGTATGTTTGAATTCTGTGACAATTTTACGATTTTTTTTTGGGTTGCATTCTTAGTTTATAAGTTAAATTTTATATCATGGTTGGTTTTATGGACTCAACTTATTAAACTATTCTACTAATGGAATTTATATTTTGGGATGGAAAATGGGTTAATTTGGAGGATGCTGATGCAAATTTTGGGGGTAGAATTTAAATTTTGTTCTATTAATTGGGTTTACAGTTTTATATCACAGTTGCTGATGCAAATGGGTTTATGAAATCAACTATTAAACTTTTCTTTACATTTTACCATGATCAGTTCTATTAAGGGTGGAAGTTGATACAAATTTTTGTTTTAACCATTTGTTCTGTTTTTAGGATTTTTAGTGTTGAATTGTTGCCTGAGTCAACTTTCAATTTCAGTTACTGTCTCAGCCAAGGGTCAAAGTAATATAACTGATTCCATTTAGGCTGAGTCACTTCCCCATTTTTGAGGTGGTTTCTCTGGTTTGTGCAGTCGTGCATATCAGTCTCAAAATCAATATTATGCATGAACTTCATTTTGGTTTTGCTTGGTCTTTGTTTGGCTATCCAATGCCTTAAAAGACATCAGTAGTGCTCCACTGGGCTTGCTGCTCTGAATTTTTATTTTTCAAATAATTATATCTACTAGACTATTTTTTTTTTTTTTTTTTGATAAGTAAGATTTTATTAAAAACGCTCAAAAAGGGGAGCGAAACCCAAAGAAACAAAAGGAACACAAGGGCCAGAGGGCGCCTTAGACCTTCAAAGAGGCCAAAAAAACAATAATTTCCTCCACAGATCTATAATCTCTCCCTGAAACCCAACAAAAAAGAGTAGAAATAACAGAGAACTTAAGCATAGAAACAGGCTTCTTTTTCCTGTCAAAATATCTCCTATTTCTCTCAGGCCAAATACACCACCAGATACAGAGCGGCGTAGCCCTCCAAGCATCCCTAATGCCAGCCCCGACAGAGACGCCTCTCCAAGCCTCAATCAACCCTCTAGAGAAGAAAGGCATAGCCCAATGAACCCCAAATAAACGAAGCATTAAATCCCAACAATCTCTGGCCATGCTGCAATGTAAAAGGAGGTGATCAACAGACTCTTCATGACACAAGCACATGTAACAGTGATTGACCACCACCTGATTCCTCCTCCTCAGATTATCCTGGGTAAAAATCTTACCCAGAACAGAGGTTCAAGCAAAAAAGGCGACCTTGCGGGGAGCCTTGGACCGCCAAATAGACTTCCAAGGGAAGGGATCTCCATGACCAAATGAAAGGCATCTGAAAAAGGACCTAACCTCAAAACGGCCATGTGTGGTAGGAATCCAGAACCACCGATCTGATCCCCCAATAGAAAACACCTGGCTATACAACAACTCCAGAAAACGAGAAACATCCTCGATCTCCCAATCCTGAAAATGCCACCTGAAACGAACATCCTAAGACAGTCTCCCGTTATCAAGATGATAACAGTCGACAACCATGGCCTGTCGATGAGAAGCAATCCTGTAGAGCCGTGGGAACGCGAGAGCAAGAGGAAGATCCCCACACCAGAGATCCAACCAAAAACTGATCCTCCTTCCATCTTCAATACGAAAACGAACATGCTTGCAGAAATCATCCCAACCCCTCCGAATACAATGCCAAACTCCCATTCCCCTTGGACCACGCATTTCCAGGGAGCACCACCCACCACGACTTTCCCCAAATTTGCAAGCAATAACTTTCCTCCATAACCAATGCCTCTCGATCCCAAACCTCCAGAGCCATTTACCAAGAAGAGCCTTATTAAAAGGTAACAACCTCTGAAACCCTAAGCCTCCAAACCGAATTGGACGGCACACTTGTTCCCATCGAACCAAGTGAAATTTGAACTCTTCACCTTCCCCCCCCCCCCCCCCCCCCCCCCCCCAAAAGGAAGTTGCACTGTAATCTTTCAATTCTCTCAGCCACTGAAGAAGGAATGTGAAACAGAGACAAGAAGTATGTAGGCAGGCTAGAAAGGGTGTTCTTAATCAGGGTAACCCGACCCCCCTTGGACAGGTACTGCTTTTTTCAACCCGCCAACCTCCTCTCGACTCTGTCCACAACCGGATCCCAGCTCCCCACACATCTCGACAGAGCACCCAAAGGCAATCCTAAATAAGAAATGGGAAAATAGCCAGTGCAACAGCCAAGGATGTGAGCAAACACCTCAATCTCCGGAACATCCCCAACAGGCACAAGAATACTCTTACCAACATTAACCTTAAGGCCAGAAACAACTTGAAACCAGATCAGAGCGCATCTCAAATACCTCAACTGGGACTCATCCGCATCACAAAACACAATAGTGTCATCTGCAAACATCAAATGAGAAACCTCCAATTGACTAGCAACATTCCTGCCCACCCGAAAGCCACTCAAAAAACCCAGTTCCACAGCCCTCTTTAGCAATCTGCTAAGAGCCTCCATCACAAAAAGGAACAGGAAAAGGGAAAACGGATCCCCTTGTCTCAAACCCCTTGAGTTAGAGAAGAAACCCGACGGCGCTCCATTCACAAGGACAGAGAAACGAACGCTAGAGATGCAAAAAAGAATCCATCTCCTCCATCGCCCACCGAATCCCATCCTCTCTAACAAGTAGAGAAGGAAACTCCAGCTCACATGATCGTATGCCTTTCAATATCTAGCTTACAAAGAACACCCGGAACACCGCTGCTCAAACGGGAATCAACACAGTCACTGGCAATAAGAACAGAATCCAGGATCTGCCGACCTCCCACAAAAGCATTCTGAGAGTCAGAAATGACACCATCCATCACCTTCTTCAACCTAGAGGCCAAGACTTTCGCAATCAACTTGTAAAAACATCCCACCAAACTAATAAGGCGGAAGTCTCTAACATCCATTGCCTCTCCCTTCTTCGGAATAAGAACAATAAAAGTTGCATTCAAACTTTTCTCAAAAGAACCCTGTGCATGGAAGGCATGAAAAGAACCCATCACCTCTTCACGAACCACCTCCCAACACTCCAAAAGGAACCTCATAGTAAAACCATCCGGACCAGGAGCTTTATCCCCATTACAGCTCTTCAGAGCAGAGAGAACTTCCTTTTCTGAAAAAGGCTCTTCCAAAACAGAGCCCTCCTCTCCCGAAATAGAGTCAAAATGAAGCCCATCAAGCAAATGACGCCAATCAGCTGACTCAGTGAACAAAGACGAAAAGTACTCGGAAAAGCTCTTACTAATCTCCTCCTCTTTATTAATCACCACCCCATCCACCCTAATCCTCCCAATGTGGTTGCCCCTTCTGTGAGCATTAGCAAGTCTATGAAAGAATTTAGTGTTATTGTCACCTTCTTTAAGCCACAAAGCTCTAGATTTCTATCTCCATGAAATCTCCTCCATAACAGCAATCTCAGCAAACTCTACTTGACATTCCACCCTCCTAAGTCTCAAAGGACCCGTCAAAAAACCGTGATTCTCCATCTTATCAATGTCAGCTATCTCAGAGAGAACCCGATTCTTTCTCCAGACTAAGTTACCAAACACCTCTTTGTTCCAGACTTTAAGATCATTCTTCAAAAAGCGCAACTTGCCTGCCAAAGTATGACTCGGAGTGCCAACCACTCCATACCCCGCCCACCAGGATCGAACTCGCTCCAAGAAACCTTCAGCCCAGAGCCACATATTCTCAAATCAAAATAGGGATCTTCTGCTACGCAACCCGCCACAGTCCAACAGCAACGGAACATGATCAGACAAAGGACGAGCCAAAATGGTCTGAACAACATCAGAAAACTTCACCTCCTAATCATTCGACACCAAAAATCTATCAAGACAAGAAAGTGTGGGAGGAGAACGACCACTGGACCAAGTGAAACGCCCACCCACCAAAGGCAAATCAAGCAAGCAGCAAGCATCAATAAACTCTGAGAAAGCCTCCATATCAGCTGTCCATCTGCCCCCTGTCGATCTCTTAAAAGGGGAACGAACAACGTTGAAATCCCCCCCGATACACCAAGGCAACGACCATCGCCTACGAATCTCCCCCAGCTCCTCCAAAAACAAATGGCACTCATTATCCTCCGTAAGCCCATAGACTCCAGAAAAAACCCACCGAAAGCCATCCTCCACCATGGAAAGAAGACAGGAAACCGAGAACCGCTCAGCCTGAGAATCCAGCAAAGAGATCCAACGGACATCCCATATAATCAGGATACCACCCGAAGAGCTAACCGCATCCAACGCACACCACTCCACGAATCTCCCACCCCACAAACTTCGAACAATCACATCCGTCATGGAAGCAATCTTTGTTTCTTGAAGGCATACAAGATGACCACCCGCTTTCCGAATCACCGATTTCACCACTTTCCTTCTAGCCGGGTCATTAAGACCCCGGACATTCCATGAGAGAATTTGGAGCTTCATAGGGAAACAGTAGAATTAACCGAAATTACCAATGTTGAGGAGTCAGCTCTATGGACCCACAATTGGAAAAAAAAAAATACTTTTATTGAAATAATGGTTCATGAGGTTAACAGGGGGAACACTCAGTCTAGAGTATTTACCGATAAGTGTTTTTTTTTTTTTTAAGTAAAAATAACATTAAAAAAAGGCGTTCAAGAGGGGAACGCGTCCCAATTACAAAAGTGGAACCGGGACTAAGGCCCCAAAGAATCCAAAAAAGTATTTAAATCATATGAAGA